GGCCAATTTTGGGTATTATCGTTTTTTGAGGTTTCGCGCGCGCACGCAATTTTAAGGCTTGACATGTTTGGTGTCTTTTTACCCGACGTGACCCCGTCTTTTATATTTTACCAAAAAATTGGGTAATAATAAATGTTTTATCATTTAATATAGGGGAAACTGTTTTTTTTTTTTTAATCGTTAATTTTCCCTTTAATATATAAAAAAATAAAACCCCCAGTGGTGAATAAATACCACCAAAAGAAAGCTCTATCTGTCCCCAAAAAAGGGTATAAAATTAATTTCAGTACAGCGCTGCATGAGGGAATAAATGTCAGTCAAAGTACCGCAGCGCTGAATACTGAAAAATGGCCTGGATGGGAAGGGGGTTTAACACCGCGGATGTCAACTGGTTAAGCAATGTTACCCAGGTAGGCACAATGCAGCAGTAAAGAGGCATATAGAAATATTCTCCAACTCACTGTAATCAGTCAAGCTTGGTTCTCTTTGCTGCGCCTGGGGAGCTGCCCACTGTTTCAGGAGCTGACAGATTATAAAGAGGTCCTCCGCAGTGTAATGATCCCCATTCTTAACCCAGCGATCAATCTGATGACACTGGAGGCAACTAAGGTATTACAGTCCCTAGTGGAGTATTAGTCTTGACCGTGCTGTCTGATTGAAGCCTAAAGTTTGGTGTATGTGTCTTACTGCCTGTTATTCTTGGTGAGTGGTCATCCTAATGCATTTATGCAAAGAAAAAAGAAACTGTAACTCCTAAAATACCATGTAGAATGCAAGTTTAAAAAAACAAGATTTAGTGTCTGAAATTACGATGGGTTTTTTTTTTTTCTTTTCCTTTTCGTAATAGGAATACCTTGGTGAGGAACCATTTAAAGACATTACAAACCTGGCAGTTAAACTGGATAAACTGAAAAGTGAGTGACTTTGTGACCTTCTTCAGATTAAATCTTTATTGAGAAGAAAAAAAAAAAGCTGTGCCAAATCAAGTGTAAATAACCAAGAAATAATAATCAATGTCTGGAATCTTTTACCAATCAACCATCCATAAATAGTGCGACACAAAACAGATGGCTCAAAGATTATAACCTCCCCTATTCTAGAATTGGAAAAGTGCTTTGTTAAAATGGGGGAGCACAAAATGTCTGTCTTCAACTCCTTATAACGTAGAGGTCAATCAACATGGTGGGTCCCTCTTCTGTAGCAGTGGTGGACATTAGGGGGGGTGGAATTCACAATAGGGCAGAGCCATCTGTACGATGTTGTTTTAGGTCTGTATTATCTTATTAGAAATGTATTATTACTGTGCTTTTTCAGTTCTTTGCTTGCTCTTAGTTTTGTAAGCTACATTTAGCAAAAATATCGGCAGGGATCTGCTTCTTGTATGTTCTACTTTTCCTTCTTCCTGTTGTCGTACAAGGTGCATTTTTTTCAAAAACTTTAAAATGCACTCACTAATTACAATAATTGTAACCTTATATTAACATTGAGGTTATCCCTTTTTTTCTGTTTTAAAACTTATGTGAAATCTGTTCTAATTTGAAGGGCTATTCATGAAGTATGACTACACCACTAGTGGAAAAATTGGTATGTAAAACCACCCCTGGGGGCATTAAAGTACGGATGGTATCTTGGCTACATGTTAAATATTTAAAGCCCATCTCTAGCCAGTAGTATGCTTTCTTCAATTTTGCATTGACTTGGGAAGACTAAATACTACTTATAATGAGCAGTTTGTATCTACTGGGGAGATTTTCCTGTCCCAAAATGACACAGACCACAAACAAGAACCTGACAGAGGTTCTACCCCTTTTCCATACCCTGTCCAGAAAAGAGGTTTAGGGAAAACATGGGGAGATATAAATATACTATTAAAAATGTGTAAATATTTATTATGAACTAAAATAGTAACATTTTTATTTTTACAGTGACCCTATTTCTATGATAAACTTTTGAAAGCAAGCCATACCTGTAACAGTGTACTTACTTTTCCTACTGCCGACACTGCTAAATGCTGCTCCAATGCCGAGAAGTCTTCTGCCAAAGCCCAAAGGGAAACCGACACTTCTGGGAGTGTCGGCTATCCTGATCCTCCTCCAGCTCTCAGTGGTTTCTTCATCTGACCTCCACCCATTACAGGATAAAGCACTGATGTGCAGGTCACAGGGGGAACCAATAAGAGCTGCAGGGGGACACAGGTGATTATCACTCCTGGGTGTGTTTGGTTTCAGTGTGGACTTCCGCAGAAAACTTTTCAGCATTAGAGTGGCATTCTGTGATGGAGGAAAAGGGGAGTATTTACAAAGTTATTTTACAAGTGTAGCTTCCTTTTTGCTTTTACTATGCTTTTAAGTTTACTATAGCAACAGGGTCACTTTTAAAAGAGAGAGTATTTATATTTTCATTTGTTCTTGCATGTGATATAGTGTTAACGGTAATGATGTGAGAAGTTCTTTTACGTTGTAGATTATAATGCCTTTCATGCCATGGCTCGGGAACTTCGTGTTTTTACTACTCTGGCAGAGCTGAAGAAAAGAGTACAGGAAATAACTGGTAATACAAGAAACATCCTTTCCTATAAAGACTGTGCCATGGCCATGTTGGGCCGACGCTCAACTATGTGTCAAAGGTATTTCTCTGCAAATTTATAAAGCTGTTTT